TATTACATTCCGAGATCTTTATTCACAAATCTTTAAAAGACAAATACAGTCTCAAGTTTTTTTCTATAGGTGTAATCATACACATAATTACAAGCATGCTTGAAAAAAAAAGAGAGGCTGAAGAGTAGCCTAGTAATTACTAAGATTGGCCTGATGTCAATTACATACATTAGCAATGCTCCAGGATCCTTCTGTAGATAGTTCACAATACGTCAATGGCGTAATATTTTCATGTGTTACATGCTTAACACGACAAACTGAACTTAAGTAAAAAATAAATCAACTGCACAAGACATGGTAGTTTATCTAGAACAACGGATGACACTCCTCAAATATTTTCATGAATACCATGACACCTGATCTAAAATATAAACAAACACTGGGTATGTTTACTTCATCTAGAACATCAGATACCACTTCACAAATATTTGGGAAGTTTGGACAGCAAATAATTTTTATTTCACTTGTGTATAAACAAACTTGAACAGATATTTTTTTTTAACAAAAGAGATGCTCTATTAATACCACATAACCCAAGCTAACATTTATTTGGTGTAATATTTTGCACAGATCAACAATCATGTGATCACAAAAGATGAAGACAAATGGAATAATGGATCCTGTCTTAATGTATGGATTTTCTCCAAACAAAAACCTCACACCACCTCTCATTATTACATAATTCCTTCCAATCGATGGCGTTCATTTTTCCACGTCCAGCGATTAGACAGCGTCAGATGCATTTTTTCACATGAAGCCAAAATCAATTATTGCATGCTGTGTGCAAACTGTTAGCTTGCAGACACACAGCAATCTTAACTGTCTGGAAATTCCAATTCACTAATAAAAAGAAAATGGATTTCCTCCCGTTAAAACATTAGTAAAAAGGTTTTCTGTTTGTGTCGTGAAGTGTTCGTTTTCAGTGTCAATAAACAGTATCTGCAAGTTTTCAAAAATTCATTTGTCAATTATAAATGCAGTTTCTATTATAAGGTTATTTTGCATCGAAAGGAACAAAACCTATAGTATGCAATTAGTTTTGTATTTTTTGTAAATTGAGACAAGAAAAGAATACAAAGATACAACCAAAGCCATTAGCTCATCTTTAATATTAAATGTTGTTAACCCTATAGGATATTATCAAATGGAGCCGCAGAGGCTCAGTGAGTAAGGTGCTGGGTCGTTAACTTGGAGGTCCCAGGTTCCATCCCCATGTTGGCCCCAAAAAATTGTCAGGATTTTCCAGCGTGGTTTCTCTTCATTAGTTTTGCAAGATGGAGATCTTGGCCAGGAACTGTGTAGTTGTTCCAATTGGACAAAAAAACCTGAGGTCATGTGTACACTTTGGCATGCATGTAACAGAACATAAGACAGTTGGAATTCGATATAAGAAAAGGCAGTAGCATCGCTGGTCAGATGGTGCAGAAAAATTAATCATAAAACCCCATTTCAGTATCTTTTTCATACAGACCAGAACTTTTTTCATGAAAATATTTTATACTCAGTCTTTAGAAGTCTTTACAAATAAGTATATATTTTTAAAATATATACTAAAGTCCAAAAGAAAGTATACACTGTGCATTTTGTGCAGCATCAACCAAAGTCGTTTTCCATGGTATACAGTATTTGGGTAGAATGTCAATTTGTTTCACATTTTTACTTCGCTTAGAAATGTTGAGTTTGGACGCAAGAGACAAACTCAGTAATGCTTTATCAAATGTTTTTAATCTAAACAAAACTTAGTCATACTTTTAGTGTGTATACTTTCTTTTGGACATCAGTATATGTGAACAGTCTTGTTTGTTGTGTCTTATATCATAAACGATAAATGAATAAAAATATAACTGAAAGCAATCTTATCAGATTCTGATAACCATTAGTAACAGTACGTGTGTCCAAATTTATTCTCTTAATACAATATTTCTGCAAAACCCATTTAGAATTAAATCTAACGACTTTCTACTACCAATAATATAACGTTGATTTACCCATCATTAATTTATAGTATCAACTTGTCGAACAATGAACAGTATTTATTTTTCTTGAGGCGTCACTTTCCCCATAGAAATCGGTATTATTTGTCTAAGTTAGTATTGCTATATAAAAATATACCCTGAAGAACAATTTTGTAATAAGCCAACATGGAATCTGATTGTTAATAATTGATTGAAAAGAATAAAACGTCTAGTCGTCCAATTCCAACGTCAAGGGTTCTTTTATAAGTGCATACCAAATTGTACACAGAATCTTGTAGCCCGTTCAGACGCTTAAGTTGAACTGGTTTAAAAAACCCAGGGATCATTAAACCAGTTTAACTTAAGCGTCTGAACGCAAATGTGGGGCAAATAAACCAGTTTAAAAAACCCAGCTCGCAACCTGTCTTCGAAAAGGCTTTTTATTTTAAACTGGTTACATTCCTGTGAAAATATCGGGGTCAGACAGTGCCAATGTTATCGAAAGCGTGCAAGAACCGAATAAAGAATATGAAGCTACCCATGCGTAGTTAACTCTAACCTCCGACCGAAGAAGGCTGAATAATTAAACTGGTTTGGCTTATAGTACGTGTGAAGGCAACACGATGCTGTCTTAAAAAACCCAGCGATTATGAACTGGTTTAAAAATAAGCATCTGAACTGAATGGGCTATTAGTTTTTCACCACATCCGAATGACTAGACACTGATTGCTGGCAGGTCCTCCATCCTGCACCCCCGACAAGTGGAAAGCAGGCTGGACAGTAAAAATCCAGGATCGAACCTAAACTGATCAGTTGTAAATATTAACTTGGCCACTACTATCACTGAAAGGGATGACATCAGTCACAGTTAATAAGCTCTCAATATTAACTTGTTTTCTTCTGCAAATTAAATTCTAAAACAATTTAAAAATTATTAAGACAAAATATAAATGTGTTGGAAGTATATCTGGATAAAAAATATTTCCTATTTAGTGTAAATGGGTACCGTATATAAAATAGTACCAGAAGGTGTCAAATGGTAAAAGGCATCAATTCTGCTTGGATCAGTTTGTGTTATTACATCCGATTTAAACAATGCACATGGTTTTGGGGCGGTTTGATTTGATTTCACACGTAGACCTATACTGCTCCTGAACTTAAAAGTCAGTCAACTTCCTCAGATAGAAACCCAGGACCTGCTGGTTATGAGTTAGTACCTTACACACTCAGCCACAATATGGCTCCATGAATGACTGAACTCAAAGTACCATTTCCTAAAACAAAATGACCATATCACAGAACATGATAACTATTTGCAATGAAATATGTTCCAGATTTGACAAATATCCTCCTTCTGACATTATGGTGTATATTTCAATTATTTGTCAACAAACAGTCTTCAACACACTAAAATACTTGGTAGAGAAGTGTGCTACCCCCAAATGACACCACACAAATAGACTAAACACATCAAGCTTAGACAAAAAACTTCAAAATAAAGTCAAATGACATTATAAAGACAAACATCAAAGGCCTGTAGTTCAGAGTGGCTGCCATCTCGGATTACCTGTTATTAGTCTGGTAACACACTATAGGTCAGACTCACACCTGGTGAAATGTGTGACAGTTTAATTAATCAGGTTTCAGTATGAAAGGTCAAAGTGTTTAGATAAACAATCAATACACTGATAGGTAATTAGAGTTGTATTTAAACTATAGATTTATGGATGCTATCAGGACATTTACTATTTATCAGATCCATGACCAGCTTTCTAAACATGTCAGTAGGCCCTTAAACCCCAGTTCATTTCCTAAACATGTCAATTCATCAGTACATCTGTTTCTTGAACAATGATAGCGATGACGATGATGATGATGATGATGATGATTGATACTATGATCATCTGATTATAGTAATACTGATCATCATGAAAAGGACAATGATGAGACCATTCAACTATTACTCTGAGATTTAAACAATGAAAATCTGTTTGGGAAGAATTGAAAACTAAGTAATAGTTTTTAATTAAATTAAAAGTTTTACTACGCCTGACAAATGAGCACTGAGCTTGTCTAGACAACATTTCATTTGTCAGCAACACAGACACAACCTCTTATAAACTGGGCTTGATCATTCCAAAGGTTCTTCAACATGGATTTCAACCTGGAATATTGTAATGTAGTCCTGTGCCCTTATAACCGTGACCCTTGAATGTATCTGACCTATTAAGATTTTATTTATTAACACAAACCATAAAATATCAAATTTTTGCTTCATTAAGTCCAAAATAATCCATTCATGCAATATTTGATTTACTCAAGTATGACATGTGACTGTTTGACTGAGATTACCTTAATTACAAAAAAAAACCAAAACAATAAAAAACAAAGAGCTATCAATCTTTCATTCAGTCCTCTAATCAAAATATTTCATACAATAGCACCAATTTTTCTTTAATTAAAAAAACAACAATTCCTTGATTCCACTATTGACAATCGGGACATTTTTATATTGTGTTCGTTCATCTAACCGTGAGAATCTAACTTCCTATTGAACATTATCGCAAAGAATCAATTTACACTAATGAGAATAGAAACAGAATAATTTGGTTGAATAAGTACGAATTATTTCTAAATTCTGTGGGTTTTTATGAAATAGTGATTATAAGTATGATTTACATCTCGATAATCATAATTAAATTACCAATGGAAGACAATTATAGTTATTTTTATAAAATAGAACAAGCGTGATCAAATGTGTCAAGCCATGGTTCTAATTCACAGTCATTACCAGGTTAATAGTAAATCAAATATAGAAGTTATCTTCAGCCAAAGGCTGTTTGCAAAAAACAAATGCTGAGCTCTTAATACTACCTTCCCTTTTACAAAATGTAATAAGACCTTCCTTTTTTCAAAATCCTATTTTTATTCTTTGCTCCAATCTCAGATAAATGACGAAGTACAAATGTAAGCTTTGATATGCAACTTCTTCATTTAATATTTTCAAAGTGAAAATCTGAATTGAATATTATAAGATAAGCCTACCTCACTTTGTGACCTCTCGCTCTTCATTCTAGCCAATTCTCGCTGTAATTTTGCAATGGTTCTTTTCGAAGCTGATTTTTCTTCAGACATATGGCGTAGATCCTCAACTTTACTGTCATGTCCATCCTGAAATGAAAAAAAATATTAGATTTTATCAAATGCAACTTTTCACTATCCACTCATAGCTTTTAGTGAATATCCATGCATATGTGATATTTTTTGCAACAAGAAAACCACAGTATAATGTGATCCCGGCAAGGTACCCTGGTACACAGCAACAATGACTTTTGTTCAGTGAAATGACTGATCACATTAATAGTTCTATCAATTTTTTATGTGTTTTAATACAACTTTTATTTCATCGTTGATGAAATTTTTCGTTGATATAAATTATGACATGCGATATTTTGACTATCTACAGCAGATATAAGGAATTTATTTATATTTTGTGGTATACCAGCATACAGTGGAATTGGTATGTACCTCAAGCTATCATTGACTACCAAGTTACAGTAACAAATCCCATGATGGTCTCCAATGTATAATTACAATAGCAAAATTTTCATCAAAACTTTAAAATGCAAATTTCATCCAAATAATAGATGTTTGTCAACAAATGACATACAAATGTAAACAAAATGTCACTATTTATCTTTTAGATCTAGTGACTTCAACTTACCACCCTTAGATCAGAGTAAAATATACATTATTTTGATGTACAATGCAGCATAACATGTATACCCCTATATAGGGGTGGTCTATGATGTAATAGATTATATTTATGTCAGATGTAAACCTAAGTGTATTTGTAGGTGTGGGATGGTAATGGTAGGGATTAACACAATATAAAAGGTGTGCTAAATAAAGGTTATTAATTTATCAGTATAATTTGTGTACTTAATTCTCAGTTTAATATGTGAAGATTAAATAAAATATTCTGGCAATGATTTGCTCGTAATAACACAATTTCTTGTGAAATCTGAACATCCTACTTCAATTGGAAGGCTAAGTACACGTAAATTCAAACATGTGTAAGTACCATTACTTATGTTCTTGAAACAGGCCCCTGTACACAATATACAACTGTTCCATCCATGTTCAACCCATTTGTATATTGACATGATGTTAAAACTCTTACCAGTTTAGTAAGACAATCTTGTCCCCAAACCATATTTCACAGTAATTTTTAAATATTCTAAATCCGGTATACTTTCTAGGAAACTTGATACCTTATCTAATAGTATAATGAATTGTGACGTTTTATGCATGAAGCAAGCAAGGTATACTCGGTATGTACCCTTTCATTTCCCATTTGTAACAAATTTGGCTGTATTTTTTTTTATTTAAACCTACTGGGCCTTCAGGGTTATCTATAAGTAGAGATATTTAATTGCAGAGTATGCAGTGCACAATCTTTAAGGAATATGTGAGACATATTGTATAACTATACTAGTAAGGGCAGGAGGACCGCCCTACACACAAACAAAAATCTACAAGATAAACCTGCGGGCAAGACAGAATATAGTCACTGGAAAAAATAAACAAATATCAAATCAAGTGATTTGTGAATATTTGCACATTAATCATATGCGCTGAGCTGGTCAATTTGAATAATGTCATAGATCAAAGGATTATAAGTAATATTAAATAAAAATATATATTCTATTGTAATTATTTCTCAGATATGTGACCGCATTCTTTGTTTTGTTTGTGTTGGTGTCAATCTATATTTTAATTCCATAAATCAGGTCACATCTGTTACAAGGTTCTGATTAAAACCACAAAAAAATCTGTGTTATAAAATGTTCAACTAACTAGAAAATGAATCCCTTTTGTTTACCGGTAATAATAAAACAAAAATTGCTTTTGTGGAATGTTTATTAAGCAATCATATATTAGTATATGTAATGTTTAATATTTGGTTTCACAGTCAAATAATTCATTGATGCATCTAATTTGAGTAATCTTGGCGAGTCTTGACTGACTGGACATGAAATTGACTAATTGAAAAACTTACCTGTCAGTCAATTTCAGTGCCATAAATTAGAAAAGTATTTAATACTATTTAAGCTTAAAACACCAACAAATACAAATACATTTTTAGTTTTAACATGTAAAAACACTTAAAAACATTTTTAAAAATTGTGATAGAGTTAAAAATTATCACATTATCTTGAAAAATGTATCTTGCTAATCTGTAGTAATCAAAGTATGTCAAAAATGTTACCAGCTTGCAAATATTATAAAGAAAAAGCCCTGTTCTGAAATCAACATTTCTTCCATTAGCTCTCTGTTCCAGAAAAACTGTTATAAAAGGACAAATTTCAATATTACTGTACAATGTACTCCATTCCATAATAAGCTAGGTTGCTTTTCCACTGATGTCACTTTCTTAGATTAAGTTGTATTTTCTCTCCTCAAGTTAAGAGTATTATAGACGAGTAAGGAAAAAAAACAGATTAAGAGACATCTGATCCAGTTCAGGAGTTTTATTGCCGCGATCCTTTTCCTTCATCTGGCCATATATACCATTACAGGAGGTAAAAAATAAAACCTCAACTATGAGATCAAAGCGAACAATTCCACCACGTTAGAATCAGAATCGAGAAATATTTTATTTTAAAGCTACCATCGAAATCTTTTTTTTTTAAAGACAATTTACGTATATTTGAAATTAAATCTATTTTCTGGTAGAGATTCAATGGCAATAAAATCAATTCTTTTTCCAGATAAAAGATATTTTCAGAGAGTTAAAGTCTGAATGGCTTTAGTGTTTCAAGAATCCTATCACTATTTATGGGAAAACTTTTCTAGTGAACTTAAATTTCTTCTATAATAATTTCTGAAAAATTTGACAGGTCTGAATCAAAACATGAATGAATGAAAGAACAAATATTTAAGTACATTGAAAGGGCTCTGATCACTATGGATTTGCAAAAAAAGAATATTAAGTTGTGCAAGTAAACTGGGACTGTATTCATGAAAACCTATACTAAAATATGTTAAGGATGCAACCCTTAATTGGCTAAGAGCTGCAATCTTACTAAAAAATTTGAGCTCCTGGCCAATAAAAAAGCTGCATCCTTAACTTATTTTAGTTTAAGATATCTTGAATAAGGCTCTGGTGTAAACAGCCACCTGGTTCGTGTTCATTCATAGCAATAAATCATTCAATTACAATGCAAGACACTGTTTGTTGTTCACAGGTAGATTAATCAGTTATTAATTAAAACAGGGATTAACACCCTTGTAAAGAGACATTATCATGTGTATGTTACATGGTCAATGAGGCTTGAGATATTCTTGATGGTGTTCACGCAACTAAAGTTTAACATTTGAAGTGAGTCAACCACAAAATCTTCTATTATAAGTGAAATGGTATTCACACAACACCTTCATTCATTAATGAAATCGGGATGAACATCTTACTTTTCTATACCAACAAGCTAATAAGATGGGCTTACACCATTCAGTGCAGTGCGCTGTCATGGAAATTTTGGCCAGATATTGAGGATACGGCCTACCCTTATTTCAAGATACCATAGCTATTTTGTGTACCATCCAAATGATTAGACTCTTTGCCTTGTTAGGCCCTCCATCCTGTGCCAACGAAACCAGGCAAGAAAATCCTTAGGAACTTTCTCAGCAAACACAAGAATTGAACCTGCGACGGGGGCGCCTTGATTCCTTTAATAAAATAAACCAAGTAACGTAATACTACAAGTAGGCTTTGCAGGTAAGTTCTGGAAGGAAGTGCTTCCGAATCTGCACTAATTGTTCTAACATTCTAAACCTTATCCCTTATCAATGAACGTGCTACACAGTTAATGCAAGAACAGGAGAGATATCTAGCTATAATTACATCTGTACATTCAATTACGTTTATAAGCCTATTATCTTCAAGCCTCAATGAACCAGAAGGCCAATAATTATTTTCCTTATTTATATTTACCATTAACTAAAATATTGGCGGAAAAGTCTTCTTTAGATTAAATCTAGATGATTAACCAAAAAAGGTAGGTAAGATGTACCGGTTATCGTGAGTTTGATGTTTAGGAATAGGAATGAATTATCCTTCAGGCGTTCAGTGATAATAAAGATGGCAGTGTAAAATCAATAGAATGTGAAATTTAGATGGTCATAACCTTTGCTAAGATTGATCAATTTTAACAATCTTTTTACTTAATCTATATTTTTTGTTTATGGTCTGAAAGTTTTATGCTTATGGTCTTAGTTTTAATAGAATATTTTTTATGGTCTTGTGCTCTTTATATTCATACATTAAAATAATTTACTGACAACTAAATCCAAATCCTAAGTGGATATATTGCTATTACGCACATGGAGATATACAGGTCATTACCAATTTTTTAATTAAAACACAAAGTAAGCTAAAATAATCTTAGTTACAAATAAATTATCAGGGCATACATTGCTTGTAGTGTCCCTTTAATCCAAATCTGTCATTTTGTGTCAAAACCCTGACAACTCACATAATCATTATACCTGCTGAGCCCCTTTGTGCCACATTTAAACAATCCCTGCCGATTATTCACCTTAATATTGACAATGGCTTCACTCAAGTACGCATAATTTGTCCTTTCTAGTTGCGTAAATAGTGAAGTTAGGTTTAATTCATGGATTTGGAGTAAAGTTGATGCAGAATGACCTCTAGACATAATCTGACAAAACAACACCGTCACATAAATATTACATACCTACTAGTTGAAATATAACAATACACATAATAGTCACTCCCATCAAGAAATAAATGCAATTAATTCTGAATGTCATATTCAAAATAACCCTAGGCACACCTAATTACTGAAAATTCAAGCACTCTATTTCTTGGTCAGTATTTTTGAGTGTCTCACAATATGTTTTGAAAATCAATAGATGGCTTTCGGCACATTTGTCTCAAATTTTGTGTACACTTTAATTTGAAGATGCATGATGGAAGTGTTATGGTGAAATCATGTCGCATCAAAGTCAAACTTAATTTTTTATTTTTTTACCACTGTTAAATTAGTATTAATGCAGACCTAATAAAGTGCAACTTCTCAATTTGGCAATTAAAATAGCCAAATTAAAACCAAGCAAGAATTAAACTGAAGTGATGAAGTGAT